TGTGGGTCCCCTGGACAAGGGGATGACTCACGTCCCGGGCAGGACAGAGCCGGACAGTGTGAGATTTCATTACACCACTCGGAACAGTGAGCAACTTGAAACCGATGAATTCTTTCTAAAATTTCCCTTTTAATATTTTTGGGCAATGGTTGACCACAGGTAACTGAAACCACAGAAAGTGACACTGCAAATAAGCAGGGAGTACTGTACATGACACATATATATGTATACTGTGTATGTAGATACATTCACGTGTGCGTAAGTATATATGTATGTGTCTGTGTGCATAGATCTATCTTGTTAGGGTGTGCAAGAGTTTTAAAATCTATTAACGGATCATACATTTCTTTAGTTGAACAATCAATCCTCTCTGATAAGTCAGGGCACTCATACATCCACTTTATGAAAAAGTACAAGCTCAGATGGTTCAGAATAAACAAACAGATTGGCAAACAAAACCAGCCTAGGGCAGGCATCCACGTACTTCCTGTCTAGGCTCTCTAAGGCAGATTTTAGGTGCTATTTTCTGTTGTTTTTCAACTTCATTTTCTTCTCTGCTCTAAGTAATTCCACTCATTCTTTAAGTCTGATTCGCACGATTTTACAGTCAGGAAGGGAGTGGAAGGAGGTGGGAGAGAGAAGTGGTGGGGAGGCAGAAACCAAGAATTTATCAAGTTACACGATAAAAAGAAATTCAGTATCCTAATGTGCCCTCCTTTGTATAGTAAGAAAATATATTCCCTGAGCTAACACCTGCAGAGCTCAGGCTCATGCTGAGGGTGTGGTCCTGATTTCACAGTGGGCAAAACGAGAATAAGCAATAATCCAAAACAGAGGCCAGCAAACTCCTGTGCGTGGGCTCAGTCGGGCCTGTGGGTTATTTTTGTACAACCCAAGAGCAATGAACAAATTTTACATGTTCTAAAGGATTAAGACTCAAAATAAAGAAAAAAATGTGCCAGACAACACGTGGCCTTTGAAGGAAAAAAAATTTATTCTCTAGACCTATACAGATGAAGTGTGCTGATCCCTGTTCTATGGAGATGCTAAGAATGTGCTTCTGAAATTGCTTTTAGTCTGAAGTGTATTTGCTTGAACTTGGCTCTAATGTGGCAAGACTGCAGAACTATGGTCCATCAAAGAAGCTTCTGTAGTGATACACACACCTGATGATATCTATCGTAGGCTTAGCACAGCTCTGCGGCACTCCTGTATAGTTTGCATTCATGTTGGTTTATGTCACTGTTTTGTAGGTGCTTTCCTACACGATTTTCTGGTTTGCGTTTGCCGTGCAGCAAGGTTTCCTCTTAGGAGATACATGGGAGGTAAAATCATGACTGGCCCACTTGTTTTAATGACCAGAGGGCTTTGTTATGGCACTTTTGAATCTAGCTGAAATGTGAAGATGTGACCCGATTACCTCTCAGCTGTCTTTCACTAAATCTGGGAAATTTCTCATCACTGTTTCTTCAGTGATTATTTTCTGCTCCATCTTCTCTCTTCTCCTTCTCTGACTCCAATTACCCATATGTTAGAATGCTTGATACTGCACCACAGGTAACAGTCTTGCTGTCAATAATGTTTTCTTCCCATTTTCTAGACTGAATAATGTCTAATCCTCTATCTGTAAGTTCACTAATCTTTCATCATCTGACTCCACTGTTAGATCCATTAAGTGAATTTTAAAAATTTCAGATATTGTATTTTTTAGCCCTAAAATTGCTTTATACGGTATATATTTCTTTCTTATGAGATTTCCTGTGTTCTGTGACTATGAGCATAGCTTTCCTTATGTTTCTGAGCATAGTTACAATAGCTGCTTTAACATTCTTTACTTCTAATTTCAACAAATGTGTCTTCTTGCAGTTAGTCTCCATTAGTGACCTTCTCTTCTGAGTATGGATCTGTTTCCCTGTATGACTAGTGATGTTGGATTGCACCTGGAACACTGTGAATGATAAATGAATGAACAGAAGTGCTGTTCAATAGAAATAAGATGGGAACTGCATATGTAATTTGTAATTTTTTTTTTTTTTTTGGAGATGGAGTCTGGCTCTGTCACCCAGGCTGGAGTGCAGTGGCAAAATCTCGGCTCACTATAACCTCCGTATCCCAGGTTCAAGCAATTCCCCTGCCTCAGCCTCCCAAGTAACTGGGACTACAGGTACACACCACTATGCTTGGTGAATTTTTCTATTTTTAGTAGAGATGGGGTTTCAAGATGTTGGTCATGCTGGTCTCAAACTCCTTACCTCAAGTGATCCACCTGCCTTGGTCTCCCAAAGTGCTGGGATTACAGGCATGAGCCCCCTCGCCTGGCCTGCTTTCTAGCTTTTAAACAGTTGCTTTTTATACTGTCTCCAGAGTTCATAACTGGAATCTGCAGGAGGGCTGGTCCAATATAAGCTACTCTATCACTACAGGAAGCAGAACCCTTGATTTTTCAACCTTATCCTTGGTGTTCCACAGCAGAGCCATGGCCTACTGTGAGAGGTGCAACAGGCAGTGTGGACTGGCCGACTCTGCCACATCATATGTGTTACAACTCAATCACAGCAGCTCTCATTTCATCTGTTTCATTTCCTTTGGTTTCTGTGCATAATTTTAAAAAGACTTGGGTATAAACCTAAGACCTAACACCATAACAACCCTAGAAGAAAACCTAGGCAAAACCATTCAGGACATAGGCATAGGCAAGGACTTCATGACTAAAACACCAACAGCATTGGCAACAAAAGCCATAATAGACAAATGGGACCTAATCAAACTCCACAGCTTCTGCACAGCAAAAGAAACAGTCATTAGGGTGAATCAGCAACCAACAGAATGGGGAAAAATTTTTGCAGTTTACCCATCTGACAAAGGGCTGATATCCAGAATTTACAAAGAACTAAAACAGATTTACAAGAAAAGTGGGCAAAGGATATGAACAGACACTTTTCAAAAGAAGATATACATGAGGCCAACAAACATATGAAAAATGCTCATCATCACTGGTCATTAGAGAAATGCAAATCAGAACTACACTGAGATACCATCTCACGCCAGTTAGAATGGCGATCATTAAAAAATCTGGAGACAACAGATGCTGGAAAGGATGTGGAGAAATAGGAACACTTTTACACTGTTGGTAAATTAGTTCAACCATTGTGGAAGACAGTATGGCGATTCCTCAAGGACCTAGAAATAGAAATTCTATTTGACCCAGCAATCCCATTACTAGGTATATATCCAAAAGATCATACATTGTTCTATTATAAAGACACATGCATGCATATGTTCGTTGCGGCATTGTTTACAATAGCAAAGACTTAAAATTAACCCAAAGGCCCACTGATCATAGACTGGACAGGGAAAATGGGGCACATATGCAGCTATAACAAATGGTGAGTTTGTGTCCTTTGTAGAGACACAGATGAACCTGGAAACCATCATTCTCAGCAAACTGACACAAAAACAGAAAATCAAATACCGCATGTTCTCACTCATAGGCGGGTGTTGAACAATGAGAACACATGGACACAGGGAGGGGAGCATCACATACTGAAGTCTCTGAGGGGGTGGCTAGGGGAGGGACAGCGGGGGGTACGGAGTTGGGGAGGGATAACATGGGGAGAAATGCCAGATGTAGGTGATGGAGATGAAGGCAGCAAACCACATTGCCATGTATGTACCTATGCAACAATCCTGCTTCACACGTACCCCAGAACCTAAAGTGCAATTATATATATATATATAAACTTGGGTATAAAATAATTTGAAAACAGAACTGGTTTTAAAATATGCTTCTGGAATGGAGCACTAAGACCTTTTTGCTCAATCATGCCCTTGAACTCATGCTGACCTCTTCTCCTCCATCATCTCTTATCCTACTTTCTAGTCACTTCGCCAGGGCCAGGCCATCTTAAGTTCCAGAGAAGAGGCTGTAGCCCATTAGACTGCGGAATCTTTACAGTGGCAAGCCCTTCTTTCTGCGGCCCATGCATGTGACTGGCTGACAGACTGATGGATGGGTTTGTGGGACGGCTGCTCAAGCAGATTTCCTGCAGTGAGCTCTTCTCCAGGCCTGCAGCATGAGTGTGGAATTTCATTCTTAATTTGGCAAGGAGCACAGATCACTGAAACAAGCCTCAGCTTCTTTTTTTGCCTTCCTGCCTCCTCTCTTTCTCACTCGAACACATTTTAAGAGTTTGACAAAGAGAAGGGGGCTGGTGCAAAAGACGTGAAGCTCTTGTACTGGCAAGTGGCACGCACTGAGTCAAGAAACCTAAAACACTGAAATATTCAACATCCAGCCTATTTAGAAAAGGTCAGCATGCCTTAAATGATACACAGAACCACAGAGCAAAAACCATGCACCTCAATTCAGAGCAGAACGGAAGGCCGAGGGGTGGCATGACTTAACGCGACAGAGTCATCCGAGTCCCACTAAAATGACTCGAGAAGAGGAGGCTCAGCTGACGAACCCATTTCACACAATTCAACTCGGCTGACAACCCAAGAGGGTTCACGCGGGTAACATGGCTGTGAAAGCCGGGGCGGGGATGGAAGTTGAGATGGAACTTCCATCTGAACACCAAGATCCACTCATGGGCATGAATTTCAGCCACTGAAACAGATCGCCAGCAACACCAGCCCGTGTGCGCACTTTCTCCTGGCCTCTCAGATTCCAACATTTGTTTCCTTCTTCACCAAGACAAAGGAATTTGGGGGAACCAGTGGGCGCTGGTTAAAAGTGTGTGGCGAAGGCTCTTTGTTTTTACAGTGAGATGTTGCTAATGGTCTCCTACAGAATGCCTTCCAGCTACGATTGTATTTCCATCAGAATTCTGGCTCAGTAGCTAGAAATCTGGTAATTCAAGCAAGCACAAATCACTCATCAACAATAACAACACAGCAAAGAGCAGCACTGTCGCATTCATGGCGTGTCGCCCCCTGCCACTGATGGTGCTGCTGCCCCAGACTCTGGTGGGTCCCAGCTACAGAACCCAGCTCCTTACCGTGACTGGCAGGGGTGCAAGTTGCACCTTCGGACCTGGGGCTCTGGGCGGCTTGCTTGAGGACAGTCACTGTCATTCACCAGAGTTGTAGTCTTGTTGACAATCCGGGTGCAAGAGACGATGGTTCTGCGTTCCCCTGGAGACAGACCAGAGGCAGCTGAGAGGCTGCGGCCGTACCCGCCCGGAAAGGCTGGGCTTGCACACTCGCGAAGGAAGGTTTGGGTGCTGCTGTTGGTCGCTCTGTCACTTAAAGTGACTGTTGTAAATTTCATGTGGGTTTTTAGAGAGGAAGAACTGCAATTTTAAGGAGGAGGGTGCAAGACAAAGAAGGCAGAGTGGGGCCCTGGAAGACTCTAGAAGATCAGAATGCAGCAACACCTCAGATCAGCTGTGTCCTTGAACAGCTTGGGGTTTGTTGATTTGGGTCTTTCATTTCCAAAGATTGCTCATCTTTGCATCTGCTTGTTTAATGTTTAAAGTCTCACTGAATACCTGCACATCAGCCCTCAGCAGAGAGTTTGGCTACCTACTACCAAACTCCTGCTTGCTGAGGACAAGTGGGGTACAAAGAGTCTCGTCTGAAAGACATGTAGACCTGCCTTCTCTGGACAGGCACGCCAGAGCTGTTCTGAACTTGTCTAGCCAGCTGGTACGTACGGCTGAGCCCCACCTGCTCTTAGGAAGCTCTGCTATTCCAATGTCCCAACTGGATGTAGCCCTTCTCCTGGCTGTTCCCAGAGCACCCTAAATACTGCATGGCCACGCCTTTGTCAGGCAGGCTGAGTGACTGGGACGGAGGAGAGCGGTCACTGGAGCCAGGCTGTCTGGGTTCAAGTCTTGGCTCTATCCCAAAGAGCATCAGGTGACCACAGCGTCACTAGCTGGCCACCATGCTTCTGCGTCTAGTTTCCTGGAGCAGCCTGCTTTGCTCAACTTCCCTGTGCTTGAGGGTGCCTCAGGGATGATTAAAATAAACAAATATACAGTGTCCATAGGCCAGAACCTGGCATGTGGCTAACACTTCATGTTAGCTCTATTACTGCCATTATTATTGATTTGGGAAGAGTGACAATAAAAGATGGACTCAAGCACAGCTGTTTGGATCCTGGGCTCCCTGCTGAGTCTGTCTCCTGGGCAATTTGTCATGTAGGGATGACTCAAAATCATGGAGTCCTGAACTCACCGTCAGCTCCTGCTGCCCCGCATGGCAGCCTCGGGTGAGTACAGAAAGCATAGGACTGCTTTCAGCTTTGGTGGCAGGTCTGACCACTGTTAGGAAGCTGGAAGTCATCAGTGTCATGAAAGGACTGCCGCCAAGCCAACAGCAACAGAGCAGCCTGCCCCTGACCCCAGGATGCCACCAAGCCAACAGCAACAGAGCAGCCTGCCCCTGACCCCAGGATGCCACCAAGCCAACAGCAACAGAGCAGCCTGCCCCTGACCCCAGGATGCCGCCAAGCCAACAGCAACAGAGCAGCCTGCCCCTGACCCCAGGATGCCGCCAAGCCAACAGCAACAGAGCAGCCTGCCCCTGACCCAGGATGCCACCAAGCCAACAGCAACAGAGGAGCCTGCTCCTGACCCCAGGATGCCGCCAAGCCAACAGCAACAGAGCAGCCTGCTCCTGACCCCAGGATGCCGCCAAGCCAAGAGCAACAGAGCAGCCTGCCCCTGACCCCAGGAGAGCCTGTGAACTGTTCCATGTGGGCTACGGTTGTTCACAACAAGTTGTCCAGGAAGAAAACCTGGTTGGAATCAGAGGTAGAGCTGCTAGTTGGATTTGGAGGTTCAAAGGCCATCAGCAGCTAAGGGCTCGGGGCAGAAAGCTCCCCCGGGGAGAGGTGGGGAGTGGAACATGCAGGGCGGATGGTGGCATCCAGAGGCTATGCCAGCTGCTGCGGGGCTGCAGCAGGAAGAGGCTAAGCACAGACAGTGAGGGCAGTTGGCCAAGATGCCCAGGAAGAAATTCCTGTGTATCGGTAACTCCTATCCATGAAAGAGGGAAGCAGTCCTTTAAATGGTAAGCCATGCTTTACGTACTGGACATCCAATGAAAGTCATCCAAGCAGTCAGTAGGACTGAGGACTGGGGATGGCTGGGGCTCCACTCCGTCATCCAACTCCCAGGATTGGCATACCAGAGTCCAGGCCAACCTTCCATCCCAGCTCTGTGCCCACTAAAATCCACCCACCCTATGTTCAACAGCACTGTCTAAGGAACTGCTGGCTCAGAGTTCAGATAGGTGTCCTACCGCCGCCCTGTCCAATGAAGCAAGAAACACAATGCCTTTCGTTTACACAGATTCTTGCTGTATGACAGGCTCTTGGGCTCACGCTGTGGACCCTACGGTGGGCATGAGGGACAACCATCCTATTTTAGAGGTGAGGGAATTCGGGGTAGAGAGAGGAAGTCATTTGCTGAGGCCGAGCAGGAAGCTGGGTGCTCAGAACTCAAGCTCGGAATGTTTCACCTGACTTACTTTTTCTTTCCGTTGTACCCTGTAGTGAGGTTACTGTGGCAAAGAGGGAAGGGAATTTGGCAGCAGGCAGAGACGTGCTCTGGTGCCTCTCCAGCAAGTGGCAACAGTCGAAGGTCTGTTCTGTTTATTCCCAGGGTCTACCTGTCATACCTGAGACGTGGTCGTACATCAGCCAAACCCTGCTTCACGCACAGGTCAGAGCTGGGGGGCCCTGGGCCCCAGGCGAAGCGGTAGCATGGGCACGACCCTAGTGTGGGAGCTGGGAAGACTCTGCCCAAGTATTCTGCAGAGAGATGTTAAATTCCTGTGGAACTGCAGGTTACAGATTCCCCACTCTGTGTGCTGGCCACAGACTCCTTTGGCCTTTCTCCAGCAAAGCCCCACACCCAGCAGGCCATGGCCACGGCCACTCACCTCCTCCGCACTGCACGCTGCACCCCTCCCAGCCGCTGTGGGTCCAGATGAACAGAGAGTCCTGCGATTTTTCTGGCTCACTCTGATTTTCAGCAGTGTAGTTTACAGGAACTGTGTATTCATAATGAATTCCGGAATCTTGCTCATGAAACAACAGCACCTGGGTCAGCCACAAAACGAAGGGCATTTTGAAAAGGGATGGAAGTCCGTGGGATTGCCGGGTCTGCACACGCAGGCGCGCTATGCCTGTTTCTCTATGAGGGGTAACCAGCCCTTTTCTGAGGCTGAAAACAGGTTCGACTGAGGGGTACTCCCTTATCTCAGCTTTGGATTCCTCAGGGACTCAACCTGCAAGTAGGGTGAATGCAAACCCATCTTCCCACCCGAGAGAGGGGCCAGCTTAGACTAGGAGCTTTAGGATAAGCAACTCTGAAACCTCTCACTGCACTTCTCACGGAGAGCTGCTCCACATTCCTGCATACTCACCCCCGAAGCTGCCTTTGCAGATAAGACACAGATGAACTTTTGACTAGAAAGGCATCAGAGCAAGTGGGGTTACTGGACTTCTCTGGAAATGAACATCATCCTTCACTCCCTATCAGCAATCATTGCCGTGTCGCCTGGTCCACAGTCAGGGGTAAGGCAAACTCAAGGAAAAAATGCAGCTCACTGCCAGGGGACTTTCGGGAGCATGTGTTTGGGGGTTCAAGGATGCAGGAGTCCTCTGCTGTGGGAGCCAGGATGATGACCGTAGCCAAGGGTGGCAGGAGCCTGGCCCAGGGCTCCAAGCTGGGAGTGGGGTGGACGTGGAGGGAGGGGTCCATCATGTTTTATGGGAAACTATCATACAGCCTGGAGACCTTGGACCTGAAATCCTAGTCAGCATGAAGACGCAGAACAGATGGGTCTAGAATGGCATGTGACAAGCCCTGGAAAGCCAGCAGGTGCATGATCAGCCTGCTTTCTCTAGACGTAATCGTGCCAATCAAGCCCTCTTACAGGAGCTTAACATGGTTTGCCTGTGGCTAATGAGTCTTCAAGCTAAGCTTGGAAGCAGTAAGTGCTCTGGGTCTAAGTAGCTGGCAGGTTCACCTCAGCCTGAGAAGCCTGAGAATGGGTCAGCACGCAGTAAGGGGAGAGCGTGCACAGCTCACCCGACTTGACGTGGGGCGGATGAGGTCAAAGTGTCCCAGACAATGGGAGCCACTTCCCTCCATGCATCTCTCAGCCCCCGAGGCTGCACTGTGGGGTTGGGGTGCAGCGTGAAGAGCAAACCTAACCGTGCCAACACCCACACCTGCACCAGAGCAAGCTGCTGTAACACAGTAGGAAAATGCCTCCAGTTAGGAAAGGGAAGCGCCAAGAAGCAAACTCGTCTTAGACCTTCACCATCGCAGTACGGGAGTGTCATCTTAGAAAGAGACCTTCACCATCGCAGTATGGGAGTGTCATCTTAGAAAGAGACCTTCACCATCGCCGTACGGGAGTGTCGTCTTAGAAAGAGACCTTCACCATCGCGGTACGGGAGCGTCGTCTTAGAAAGAGACCTTCACCATCGCGGTATGGGAGTGTCGTCTTAGAAAGAGACCTTCACCATCGCAGTATGGGAGCGTTGTCTTAGAAAGAGACCTTCACCATCGCAGTATGGGAGTAGGGCTGGTGGATGGAGATCCATATAAAGCCAACTTCATGCAAGTTTGTAGCCATGTACTCTGTGTGTGTGTGTGTGTGTGTGTGTGTGTGTGTGTGTGTGTGTCACCGGTTTCAAATGCAGGTCCCCCTGACTCTCTGGGTGCTACTGATTCTGCAAACAATGTGTACACCCCAGTTCGGGGATAATGGCTTTCTATATAGACGCAAAGAGGCACCTCTCATTTTCAGCTGTAAAATATTGAAGCGACAGTCACATCTGGAGAGAAAAGCCGTCAATATTAAGCAAGGGCTGAAGGCAGTCGCGGCGGCTGCTGTTTTCTTGGAGCTCTGTTTGTCCTGGTCTGAATGAATCCAGGCTGTGTACTTCACTGCAATGGGCTAGCGACTTGCTCCGTTTACAGAAGCTTTTGGTGAAAAGGGAGATACACTTACACTGGTGTTTGCTAGAGAAAGCAAATTCTCATGCTCACAGGCCACGTTTCATACAGACTTTATGTTTGCCTCCTCCCTTAGTCCCTCTGAGTAACTGCTATTAACTCGGAACAGGAGGATTTGTTCTGACTGTGACCAGGAAGGAAGCAATCTTATCTCCGAGCAATGACTTAGGCACACATTCTTGGGTCCCAGAAAATGACTTGCAGGAACGTATTTGCAGTGGATGGAGCAGGGTGAGTGGCGCAGTGGCAGATTTCCACGTGCTTTAGATTGTACATGGACACCGCCTTGACTTTTTCTCCCCGGAAACCGTAATGGGGTTAACCACTAGCATCCTGGGCGCCAGTGCTCCCCGGCAGAACCAGCCTCCTTAGGAGGCTCCCTGGGCAATGGCCAGAAAATCTTTGGGGTGTCAACCAACCTGGAACACTTCCAGGCTGCCAGAGATCACAAATTAATGGGGAAGAAGAACTTCCACAGAGAGACTCTGGCAGGCCCTGAGGGACAAAGTGTGCTTTGATTCAGGGGCACAAGCTGCCACAGTCCTGTTTTTTTGGGAAGGAGACATGGAATCAATAAAGATGAGCTATCAGAAGTTAGCCACGAACTCCTGGACCTCGAGAAGGAAGCAGCGTGTTCCACTCTCTGGAGAAAAACATCTCTTCTGACATGTTTAAAAGGCTACGTCACTGATGTTTCAGTGGCTTGCATGGAGGCCTCCCTAAGACACAGATCGGACAATGGCACCCTGGCCTGGCCCAGCAGCACACAGGTGTCTGGGAATCGCCTGGGGAGTGGAATACCTGCATCATCGAATCCCCCTTCCTGATTCCCAAACGCTTGTTGCAAGCTGGGTCTGTGAAATCTGAGGGATGCTGGTTTGGACACGGAGTCCAAGTTCATTTCGAAAAGGTAATGATACCTGCTCTGTTAGAGCAGGTCTGTGCATCCCACCACCTGAGGTAAAGAGACTGTGCGGGGGGCCAAGTCTCCCTGGCTGCCATCCACGTGGCTAAGCATTTCCTTCGAGGCAGCTCCTTTTGAAAAAGACAGGAACTCTGCCAGGGAAAAGCCAGAAGCAACGAGAGAATTCTGAAGCAGGAGGTGCAAGGGAAAAGAAAAGACTCAGAGAGGGGAGGGGACTGAGCAGCAGGGACCCCTGGAAGCCAGATGCATCTCCTGTCCCCCGAGGTCCCAGGAAGAAGTCAGCTGGAGAGTGACCCGGTGGGTCAGAGCCGGCACCCCTAAGATGAGTGTGGGAGCCCAGCAAGTTACCATCACGTGCAGCGGTAGTTTCGTCGGTCCCTTGGCAGAAATCTTCTCCCACAGCCCCCTTCTCACGTAGCGGACAGTTGTGCCTGCAATCTGGAACTCTCCGGGGAGCTCTATCTTCCAGTCACTGTTGATGGATCCCTTACCAGAGTCTTTGAGAGCTAGAAAGCAAATTGAGACCAAAGAATCAAGGGGCTGGGGACAGGGGGATCCAGTCTGTCTTTAAAGGGAATCTGTGGCCCCTGAGTGGGGCAGAGGTCTCCCCTTCCATAGGGGGGAAGGAGGGAGGCCTGAAGCGGGAGAAGGGGAACACTCTGTGTACCGAGAACGAAAGCCTGGATCATGGGGAGCACAGAGCTGCAGACCCACAGAACCCCCAGGTAGAGTTGTGGGATTGATGGGCACCTTCCAGCCTGGGCTCCTGTCTCAAAACCAACTCAGATAGCTGGGGTTAGGGGAGGAGGGGCAGGGAATGCAGATGGCCACAGCCTGGTTTCATTTCGCTAAACCTACCCAGTAGATAGTTTTCTGCCTGATGAACTCATTCCATTTTAATGGGTCGTAGGCTACAAAATAGGTTTTGCTGCTTTAGCAGATCTCAGCAGTTGCCCTTCCTATTAGCGACCTGGGGCTCTCTAAGGAGAGCAGCTGGCTCCGGCACCTCTTCAGGATTTCATATCCCCACATGACTAAAGTGGACATTCCTTCAATCGACACCCATGACTCCATTAAGTACGAATGTTTGGAAACACTAGCCGCCCACAGATGTGGTGGTCACACTCGGCAGCTCTCACACCCCAGCTCTGTGGGTTTCAGGTTCTCCTGTTTGTTCACTCCCTTCTCTACCAGGGACAACTTGTGTTCAGGAGAGGCTGAGACTCAATGTGCTACTGACTGACCATAAGCAGACACTTGGTTTTCCATGCGAACCACGTACTGATTATTTTCTGAGGTGCTCACTAGGACGTTTCTCGTGTCTTCCCACTTAGGGGTGAAGACCACGTCACTGTCATGAGGACAGGACTCTGCAGTGACACTCTGGTTTATTGTGGTTGTCATCTAGGAAAAAAAAATCCCAAGGAACTAAAATCTATTCTGGAGAATAGAGAAGGTGGCAGATGACAAGAGGTGATAGTAAGCCTGTGTCATTTCCAAAAATGGGACCTTGGGGCACCCTCAGTCCTAGGCCCTCTCCCTGCACAGGCAGCCGGAGCCCCCCAGACACCCCAAACTCATCTACCTCTCTCCCCTTGGGTCCCTCCTCAGCCTATAATCAATGAAACCCAATCCTGTCGCATTCACGACTCTCTGCTTACTGAAGCCAGAAATAAAACGGCCACATTTAATACTGACTTTGGAAAATGAGAGTTGAAGCCCAAAAGGGGTTTTGGTTACAGCTGAATTCATCAGCCTCAGGCTGGGCCAGGCCACAAGCAGCAAAGGGACACTGGGGGTCCACCGGCCTCAGCCCCCGTCTCCAGGACGTTACAGTCCCAGTGCTTGCTCCCGGCCAACACGGAGGAGACGCACGCTCAGGACTTCTCGTGTTAGAGGAACTGCCAAGAGAAACAGGTTCCTCACTTCTAGGAACCTTCCAGCAGAGCAGCTTCCCGTGGGGTCTCGTATCCAGGGTGGCTGTGAGAGGCTGAGGATTACAGGACTCCAGGGACAGCTTGGAAAGAGAAAGTCCTACCACTTGGAGGTGTTTCCCTTCCCACAGCTGAAATGTCCTGGTTGTGAAAGGAGGTGAGGCGGGCGGGACGCCCAGTTCCCTCCCCTTTTCTCTTCTTCTGCCACCATCTGCAAACCGCCATTTAAGGAGCACATTCGTTAGGCCGGTTCCTTCATCTACTCTGACCCACTCAATCTTCTCAACAACTCCCTGAAGTCTTCCAGAGAAGCTAAGCACCTTGCCCAGGCTCACAAGGCCATTCAGCTGTAGAGTGGAGACCTGAATCCAACAGACCAACGCCACTGCATTTACCTCTGGCAACTTTCAATGCCCATTTCTTTAGGCTGTAGCATTAGTCTAGATTTTTTTATTTTTTGAGACAGAGTCTCACTCTGTCACCAGTTTGGAGTGTGGTGGTGTGATCTTGGCTCACTACAACCTCCGCCTCCCGGGTTCAAGTGATTCTCCTGCCTCAGCCTCCCAAGTAGCTGGGACTATAGGCATGCACCACACCCAGCTCATTTTTGTATTTTTAGTAGAGATGGGGTTTCACCATTTTGGCCCAAATGGGTTGGATCTCTTGACCTGGTGATCCACCTGCCTTGGACCCCCAGTGTGCTGGGGCTACGGGCATAAGCCACCATGCTCGGCCGCATCAGTCTAGATTTTTATGACTAATACCGAAATGTGCAAAGGTAAGACCTGTTCTCAAGAGGACAAATTCCAGGCTCTCATTGTTACAGGGTTTCATATTCCATATGCCCTTACAAAAATGACTGAGCTTCTACTGAGCTAATAACACAAATACATATTTGGTTATATTAACTATGAGTGAATATAGGCAGAGGGTGCACGGGCATTCATTGTTCTTTCAAGCTCTCTGCAGATTTAGAAAACTGTCTCTTGCAAATGCATGTGTCTATCTGGTTTTAGGATCCAGTGTGGGCAGGTGGGAAGGAGCAGACAGAAAAAAACCAAGGGGCCAGAGTCCTTTAAGACAGCAGTCCCCAGGACCGGTTTTTGGCACTAGGGACTGGTTTCGTGGAAGACAGTTTTTCCACAGACCAGGGGTTTGGGGTAAGTGGCGTGGTGGGGGATGGTTCTGGGATGAAACTTTCTACGTCAGATCTCCAGCCATTAGATTCTCACAAGGAGCGCGCAGCCTAGATCCCTTGCACGTGCAGTTCACAAGAGGTTTGGGCAGTCATGCTCACTCACGGGCCACCTGCCTCCTGCTGTGCAGCCTGGTTCCCGACAGACTCTGGCCTGTTACTGGTCCACGGATGGGGCCGATGGGGAAGGCTTCCTGGGATAAGCCCACTTTCAGCTGAGCGTGTAAGACACGGGAGGAGACAAGGCCGCCTGCAGCATGTGACCGGGCATGGAGGCGGGACGGTCATTCCTGACCCTCAGAGGCCAGTACTGCTAAGATCGTTCCGGGCGGGGTGGTGCAAGGAGGAAGACACAGGGCCGCGTACAGAAAAGAAAGTGGAAGGTGACCATTTTTTCACTTTTCGGAGATTTGGCTGGGAAAGGAGGCAAGAGATGGAGAGTGGCCTCAGAGGGTGGGAAGGAGGAAGGGGCCTCACTGTGGGGACAGAGGACACCCGAGCATGCTGAGGTGCCCTGTACAAAAGAGTCAGAGACCAGCAATAATTTCCTTGAAGCTGTGTGCTGACCACAGTCACACCAGGACTCGTCTGTAGAATCCATTTCTCTCACAAAGAGCAGAGGGAAGCCGGGTGGCTGCTCTCCTCCTCACCGGGCCACTGGTGCTGGCCAGCCGACTCCCATATCCACTGACCATCACCCCCCTGGCAGTGACAGACTCTGACACTGGCGGCCCTGGGCCGAGGCCCCAGCTTTGTCCCTGATTCGTGGCTTCTGTGAAGATCCACTGTGCCTGTCACACGGCCTGTTTCTCCCTCTAAGCAATGGTACCCAGGCTTTCTCCTGGGAACATTCTTTTCCTCCCATCATGTGGGGCTGGACCCCTAATTCCACAGCTCCAGGCATGAGCCCAGAACCCAACCCCAAACAGGGGGACTTTTGTTCACCTTAGGAAAAGGCAGCTTTCTTTCCACAGGGTTTCCTGGAGACTGGATGTGAGCCTGAATCTGCCAGCCCACAGGAAGACACCCCCAGAGAGGACGGTCAGGATTGCCAGTGCAGAGAGAGACCATTTTTCCTGTGACATTGCTTTAAGCCCCTGGATCCAGCAGTGCCTGAAGCTGATGCTCAACTACCAAGAGCTAGGTTTGACTTTTACACATGCTTTTTGGAAGTCGGGTTAAAAAAATGCTAATCACGCTTCTCTGGCCTTCGGACTCCTGCCCCGCGCCACCAGCAACTCCGTAGATTAGTTCAACCATTGTGGAAGACAGTGTGGCGATTCCTCAAGGCCTTAGAAATAGAAATTCCATTTGACCCAGCAATCCCATTACTGGGTATATATCCAAAAGACTGTAAATCGTTCTACTATAAGGACACATGTACACGAATGTTCATTGCAGCACTGTTTACAATAGCAAAGACCTGGAATCAACCCAAATGCCCATTGATAATAGACTGGATTGGAAAAATGTGGCACATATACACCATGGAATATTATGCAGCAATCAGAAATGATGAGTTCGTGTCGTTTGTAGGGACATGGATGAATCTGGAGAACATCATCCTCAGCAAACTGACACAAGAACAGAAAATGAAACACCGCATATTCTCACTCATAGGTGGGTGATGAAAAATGAGAACACATGGACACAGAAAGGGGAGTACTAAACACTGGGGTCTATTGGGGGGAAAAGGGGAGGGCCAGTGGGAGGGGGAGGTGGGGAGGGATAGCCTGGGGAGAAATGCCAAATGTGGGTGAAGGGGAGAAGAAAAGCAAAGCACACTGCCATGTGTGTACCTACGCAACTGTCTTGCATACTCTGCTCATGTACCCCAAAACCTATAATCCAATAAAAAATTTAAAAAAATAAAATAAAAATAAAAAAATAAAAAAAAAATGCTAATCACAATGAGGGCAGAAGTGAGGAAAGAAAATTACTATTACGGCTTCCTAGAAATCAGCCCCAGATGTTTGCCACCAAGCTGAGTACCCCTGAGAGGCAGAAGGCCTGGCACACTCCACCCCTGCCTCAAATTCCTGCCAGGGCCTCTGCCTCTATCCCGGCTCTAACAACCCTGTTCCAGCTCTAAAACCCCTGTCCTGGCTCTAACCCCCCCGTCCCGGCTCTAACCACCCCAGTCCTGGCTGTAAGCCCCACACGTCCCGGCTGTAACTCCCCCACCATCGCGGCTCTAACACCCCTATCCTGGCTGTAACTCCCCCACCATCGTGGCTCTAACACCCCTATCCCGGCTGTAACTCCCCCACCATCGCGGCTCTAACACCCCTATCCCGGCTGTAAGCACCCTGCGTCCCGGCTCTAACACCCCTATCCTGGCTGTAAGCACCCTGCATCCCGGCTCTAACACCCCTAT